TAGGGTCTTAGGCATATTTCTGAGGCCTGGGGTAGGATATAGGGACTTTTCATCCAGCTGTTCCTTGGCTTTCCTGATGAGAAAAGAGCAGACTATTGACAAGTCAGGATAACTATTTTCTAACCTTCTGCCCACCAGGACCTGAGAACATCTTAAGGATCACAGGGCAAAACCAGGTGGATGAGCACCAACTTGGTTTGACTGTAGAAAAGTATGTCTGTGTCATTTCCAGTCCCAGAACCCTCTGGTAAACTGAAAAATTGAGGGAGACTTGAAGCCCCAACTCATACAATTTATTCACTATTATTGAGCAGTCATTACCTGTGAAGCACTGAATCAAAAACTCTATACATTTTATCTCATTTGAGCCATACAATAACCATAGATGGTTAGCACTATAATTATTCCTATTTGACAGATAAAAAGGTTAAGCTTTGGAAAGGTTAAGACCTTGTCTAAGGTCAAGAGCTAATAAAAGACAAAACCAGGATCAAACTGGGGTCTTTTTTATTTCACAGTCAACAGTTTTAATCACATTGACGTCCTACCTATTGTGGAAACGTTTCTGCTTCTGTACCAGAAGTCAGAGTTCACCTGGCTAATATACAATGTAAAACCAAAAAGGCTTCCATTAGATTTCATGCCAGAAACGATCACCCAAGGGGTTAGGCATCAAAGTGAACTACCTTGAATTTATCCATTTCCTTTTATCCTCTGCCTGCCACTTGAGACTTTGCTGTCCTCTGTGTACTGACAAACCCTGTCTTACCTGGAGCAGGAATGTTTTTCACGTTAAAACAAAAAAGGAAGACCATTATTCCTCACAAGTTAACAGCACTGAAGAGCTTTGCCAAAGCTGTAACTCCCCCAGGGCTCACTGCAGTTGATGCAGAACTTCAGGGACCTCCAAATTTGTACTTTGCAAGCTGCTCCTACTCAACAGATAAAAGGGAGAGATAGTCACACAGAACTTAAATTTGACTCTTAAATACCCTCTCACAGAGCCTTTCAGGTATAAAGACCACCTTAAAGACTGAAAGAATAGAATGGAAAGCAACTATATGCTATATATGCACTCAAAAAAAGTTTTACTACACAAGTTAACTAGTAGTTTCGTACAAATGTTCATCTCTTTATTGTAATATACATACCTTGATTATGTAGGATGTTAATATTAGAGGAGACTGGGCAAAGGATATATCTTTGTATCTCTTCTATAAATGTAAATTTATTTCCAAAATAAAAGGCTTTCAAAAATGTAATGACATTCTTGATAAGAGTCCCTACAGTATGCTCCTAAAGAATGACTGTTAGAACAGCGATACTGATGGAATGCAGTTGAAGTGAGAATTGAGTCATTTTCATCAATGATGTATCATTGGTAGCAACAGTACAGAGTTCCTCTAATCCAAAGCCATGGGAATAACACATCTTGCAAACCAAGGATTTAATCAGAGCTGAGCAAAAAAGAGAGTTTGATCACAATGCTTTACATCTGAGCCATAAACATATCTTCTATATAAAACACTGTAGTAAATAGTATTGGCAGAGGGGAGGTGAAGCTGGTGTAGGGTGTGAGGAAGGAAGTAAAAGGGAGGACAGAAAGCACCATTCATATATTCATGAATGAGATGAACCTGAAGGAAGCTAATAATCATTTTTATTTAGCATCTAGGATCAGATCAGGGGAAGAATTTCCACATTTGCATAAGTAACTTCATAATACAGAGGGAATAAGACACTGGAGTGCAGGTCCTCGACACAAGAAAGTTTTCTTTAACTTTTCCAAAGAAAGTTTCAGAAACACCCATCCAAGAGTCATTTGGTATAACCAAAGCATTTCAGAAGAATTTTAAAAAGCAATGAAAGGATGAAATATTTAGAGCCTGCAAAAAACTTTCTAAGAAAGTTCTGAGGATGATCAAACCCAGAATCAAGAGCACTTTCAAGAATTTGAAGATCTCTTACTTAAGGACTATGATCATTTAATCTTCTTTGCTAAGACCAGAAGGAAATATCTCACTAGGTCACCAAAGGTGATTACAATATTATCTTTGGATGTCATTGCAAAGAGAAGAGGCTGCTTTTTGTAAGGGTTTAATATAAACCTGCCTTAAAGCACAGAGGAAGAATAGATGGTCTATTTCAGGTCTGTTTCCTCCCCAATTCATGGAATCAAAGCAATATAATATGCAGCTGCTTTAATATTTCTTTGAAGAGTATTTGCTAGAGAGGAATCAGGAAACATTATTCTAGGACAGAAAGCACCAGTCACATCATGAAACTCAGGCGTAAAAAATCCCTTGACTGATCCAGTTTTCTAACCTCTCTTCCTATTTCATAGACTTTCTGAGGACATATGACCACGAACCTGAAATTTAGGAGACATGCTGATCTGGCGCTAAGCTCTGATTTCTTTTCCAATAAGACAACTGAGACAAATTCATATGAGAATAAATCATGGCCCTAAACCAGAGTCTTAAAAAAAAAAAAATGCCATTAGCCCCTGATACTTTATTTTCAAGGGGTATATCCACTCACATCCTATTTATAATACCCTTAAGGTAAAGTTAAAGTCAATAATTCAGTTTTTGAAATTTGTATTTTATTGCTCTCATTAATGAAAAGAAAACATAATCATCTGGTACATTATGTTTGTATATTACTGTTTGAAAACCATACTAGGATAAACTCCTCCACCTCACCCCAAACAGCTTGATACAACCCAATTTCACTTTATACCAGTTTGTCTTCTATTTATATTTTAATAGAATAATTTGGTCAGACATCCAAAGGACTTCCTACTAATGAAATATGAATTTTCTAAGAAAAATCAATTTATAACTTGCCTTAGTATCCATCAAAGACAAGAACAGTTATTAAAGTCTGAAACACAGCAACCATCCTCATACTCAAAAGAACCAGTAGGACAGTATCAGAGGTAAGCAAAGGGTTAACACAGCTGATATCTAGGTTAAGAGAAGGATGCAACATAATTTTTTAAGACAAACACCTGGAGAGAAAAAAAGTAGTATTTTGTTTCCACCTCAAGAAACCGCAGACAAACACGAAGCAAATCACATCATCAGAATACTCAATTATCTGAACATGCTAATTAACTAAATGTAATCAACCCGCTTTCAGTCCTCTTTTAACCTGCTGTAATATTTCTAGTGCATTGCCTTCCTTATTCCTCACAACTGGTAGAACGTTAGAGAGTCTGCATGGTGCATCAAAGGGAAACAAATAAGCACAGATTTTTGCTGATGGCAGGAATTTCTCATGCTCAGGGCATATGAATCAACAACATGGAAATGGCAGTACTGGCTGTATATTTTAATTATTCTCCACACCTATTTTGCAAAAGAGACTTAAAGTTCAATTAGGTAATTGATGCTCAGTTATGGTTATTTCATAAAACTGAGCGCAGACAGTCATTTAAAGTAGTAAATATGCAGTCATGACAGAATTAAATATTCATGAAATCAAGAGCGACTGGAAAGCTGAGGATATCAGAATATTAAAATTCATCATAGTTTTCACAATGTAAATCTTGTGTGCATTTGTAAGGCACACCCCGGTCGCATCTAGAGTGTGTTCAAATTCTAGTTCCTTGGTAAACTTCCATTTAAATAACAATATTGATTTTGGAAGATAAACAACAGTTTTGATTCTTAGCTCAGTTTCAAAATGCAAAACAATTCTGAACATTTGCAAATCTGAACTTGTTAAATGAGCCTGTCTCAAACACAGAACAGCAATTCAATGTGATCCCGACATGTTTCCAGTATTTATTTAATCCACTAGTATCTTAGGAAAGCTCTAACAGAAACCAAGGCAATCTCCATTAAGGGGCACTTCATGACACACAATTCCTTTCTAACTAGCAGAAGTGCCCATTTTCCTGCACACTTCCTTAAGTGAGCAGAAGTGAGAAAGTAGATTGACTGGCTCATTTGGTTCCAATAGTCTGATTTGTTGAACCAACTTTTCCCCAATATTACCAGCCAGTTTCAAAATATATTAACAAATATACAGTGTACACTTTATACAGATAAAACAAAGCAACAGTAGCTTCCACAAAACGAAACTCCCAGTGTGTGAAGGAAGACTGCTCAGAGACAAAGCTGTAATAAACACTCCCTACTAATACTACCAAGGCAGTATTTTCTATGCCATTTCCTCTACTTTACAATTTTCTCAGCGGAAGAGACATCAGCACCAGAAAATAACATTCAAGCCATTTCTTACTAGAATCCAATTACCTGAAGAACTCCTCTTTCCACAGCAAGTAGCAGCTATCCCCTGGTCTACAATGACACAGCAGGGCTGCAAAAGATTTGTAGGGCTCATCTGCTGCCAGGCACTTGATCTCTACCCTCCTAGAAGCAGGATGCCAGGTCAAGAGGAGGACCTCCAGCTTAGAGCAGGGTTACGCAGGGCACTCCATTCTGCAAATGAGCCAAACTTTGCTCCCATTGTTTTCTTTAGGTTGATGTCACTACCCTCCAAGGAGTCTCAGAAGCCACTTGGCAGCTCCTAAAGAACTGTTTCTCCTAGACCTATATCATCCAAATAAGCCTCAGTTAAACTGCGAGGGCAAGCAAAGGTCTCATCCCTGCTTTACTGAGGTGCTGTGCTCGCCCAGAGCATCACACCGCGTGTACCAGAAGACTTTTCTCTGCACACACCGCTGAACACTGAAACCAGGACAGACTTCTACACATACCCTCCAGTTCGGAAAGTCACTATCGCCCACGGATTCCCTTAAATCTTAAGCCTTCTTCACATCTGCCACCCCCACCCCCACACAAACGAGGGAAGGGGGTTGGGGAGCGGAGGGGTTAAAGTGACAGCCACGACAGCAACTCCTTGGTTTTGTTCAAAAGGTAGCACAGCGCCAACACTGTGGACCTACCTTGCTCTCTCCTTTCTCGCCGTTGGGTCTCGTCTCGGGATCGTCGCTGTTCTCAGCGCCTGCACTCTCGCCGGGCAGTTCATCCTGAGCCAGCTGCTGCGGCGGCGGCTGGGGCTGGGGCGGCTGTGGCGGCGCCTGGCAGGCTCCGCCAGCCCCCTGGGAGCGGGGGATGGGCTCCGGGCGCGGAGAAACTCCCTCAACATCCATCTCCATCTTCCCATTCACTGGAGGGCAAGACAAAAGCGGAGTGGAGACTTGGCAGCGGCGACCGGCAGCTCCTCAGCTGCCCGTGGCACGCATGGCTCGCCGAGGAGGGGCCGCCTCCCGCGCGCCCTCCCTCCTGCCACCCTTCACCCGCGCTCCCCGCAGCTCCGCTCGCCTGCTCGGCTCCGGCCCTGGCGGCGTCTGGGCCGGGGAGCGCGAGGAGCGGGTGGCCGCGTGTCCTTGGAGCGCTGGCCTTCAGGCGCCCCCGGCAGTCCCGCTAAGCAGAGCGCATCCCGGCGGCGGCGGCGGCGCCTCCCGGCCGCGCTCCCAGCCTCAGGGCCGCTTGGGGACTTGCTCTCCAGCCCGGCCCACGCTCCGGGCCGCTTTCCGGCGTCTCTTGGGGCCCCTCGGCGTTTCCCCTCCCTACCAACCTTCTGAACAAAGTTGCTGGAAGAACAAACCTGGTCGCCAGGATTTGCCCGGCGAAACTGGCAAGAATAGGGACTGTCAGGTGCAAGTGAAATCTACCGTCCCCGCCCGCTGACCAAGAGCCGACCCCTCAGCCTTATCCCCTCCCCAACGCAAAGGAGCCAAGGAAAGGAGGGATCTCCGACCTGTGCGAGGTGGTGGCGGCGAGGACTAGAAAGAGAGGAGCGTGCGGAGAGCTGGTGCGCCCACCCCCAACCCCAGGTGACCCTCGCCTCCGCTCTGGCCCTGGTCCCCTCCCTCCCCCGGCCGAGCGCGCCTCCGGGGTCAGTCCCTCCGGGCTGCGCGTGTGTGTATCCCAGAGCTCCGCTCCGGGGTCTGTTCTGCCGCTGGCGGCTCCGCGCCGCACAGCCCTGCACTAGAGAACTGGAGTAGAGAAGAAGCCAACGGCAAATTCCGGGCAGGAAGTCGACCTACCCTTGCCTCTGGCCAGGTCGCAGGTTAGAACCGGGAAGGGGTGGGGCCCCTCGGGGACAGGGAGGACGCGAGTCTCGCGGCGCGCCGGAGTTTGGCGTAAAGGTCGGCAGCAGAGGGTCGATGGGGTAGGAGGAAGGAGAAGCGAGAAGTCGCTGCCAGGCATTTACTGCAATGTGCCCGGGGCGGGCGCCAGCTGGGCGCCGTCTCTTTTTGGTGGTGAGTTCTGTGCTGGAAGAGCGTCCTCAGCAGGGCAGGGCTCCACCAGGAGGCTTCGGTGGTGACCCCAGGGCAGGGAGTGCGGTGCGTCTGTACATTTCGAGATGGCGAGGGTAGGCTTGGAAATTCTTAAATCGGGGTTCACCACTAGTCAGGTGATCAGGATGACTTCTCAATTTAACACCACTTGATCCTGGGTAGTAGCTTACAACTTCACGGGAACTGCCACTGCAACTCTGCACGTCCAGGAGGGACCTTCAGGCGACTCTGGAGAGAAATGGCGGGTTATCAAGAACCTGTTCAATATTAAATAGAGCCCATTGTTCTGGGCTTTGAGTTCCATAATGCTCCCAAATGGATCAGCAGATTAATGAACTATTCATGCGTTTCTTAGCAGAGGATGGCTTTTTTTCCCCTAACATATATCACAGATCACACTTGCTTGATGAAACTGGAAAATTGCATTGCTCATCCCATGAATGCTTTGCATTAACTTAAACACAACTTTTACATATCAAGACACACTGCCCCATAGATGCAGTTACACAAGAACACATCATTAGGTTGTATTCCTCATTGCTATCTTTTAATCTGACTCTGCATGTATGACAGAAATTAATTGCTCCGCTTTCATCAGTGTAGACAACCAATCTGGGTAATGCAATGTGAACAAGCTTTTGAAAAAGAAGAAAAAGTTTGGGGACCAAATTACCCATTCTCTTTTTCTTCACATTTTCTAAAAATCAGATTTCAAGTTCATTTTCTCAATTGGGAATTGTTGAAAATAGAGTGGGCTCCTCCCCAGTACCTGGTAATAAACCAACAATCATTAGAGAAGGTTTATAATGGTAAATTAGATTATATGTGTAATGTGCTTAGCAGAGGGTCTTAGTGCATAGTGAGCACCTAACATTGTTATACTGAGAACAGTAAGATGATACAAGTTCACACTGAGTGTTCATCTGAAGACCTTGATTTACAAAAAAGAAGCTACCAATTTAAATTACCTTTATTTAAATTTCCTAAAAGATATTTGGTCTCTTTAGAGACTGAAACCGCTTCTGAAGACAGGAAGAAAGTCAATAATATTTTGTGCAATAAAGGTTTGAATGTGTCAGATTTTTTTTTTCCTACAGTGTAGCAATAAAAATCATATGTCAGTTCAGACAGCAGCAGGAATAGCTGACTGGTAAGTTATTATTCTTCCATGCTTGCTACTTCCAAAATATGTTTGTGAACTTCTTTCAAGGCTTAAATGAAGATTACATCAAAATAAAGATACAATACTTCAATTAAATTTGTTCTAAATTTAGACATGTCCTTTTAAAGACTCTCATTGTTAAATGCAAATATTTCTCCTTCTGCCCCTCTATTTTTGGGGGACGTAGTTTTTTTAAGCATCTGTCACAAGTAAATATGGACTCGGAAAATATATTACATTTCAAAACTGTTGATTGCACCTAATTATGCATGTAAATTGCTACTTCAAGCATGCAGACAGCTTGCAACATTTTGAAAATTTTGCCCTACTAGTCATCTGAGGTATTTGTGTTACTATTTTGCAGTTGCCTTAAATGACTCTTCATTTCTCAATTAACTTTCCATTAATGATAGGTCTGTGAATAATTTTGACCTTTGACTTTCTCTTCCCAAATGATTTAAATTAGTAAATCAGCACTTTCAACAACATCACCCTTCTTCCTATTTATACCAGACCTCTTGATTTTTTGAGTCACTGAAATGGGACTTTACAAAAAGGTGTCCTGGCAGAGTAGTCACTCTAACTCCTTGCTACTGAGTATGATCCATGAACCAGAATCTTCCCAACATCTGGGAGTTTGTTAGAAATGCAAGGTTTTGGGCGCTACCCTAGACCTACTGAAGCAGAATCTACATCCAGCAAGTGATTCCTACAACATTTAAGCTTAAGAGCCAGTGCTCTGGCATATCACGTGGTTGGTCTTTCTACCTTATAATCATCTATGGGCACTCATTATTTCCCTGAAATACTACCAAGAAAGGCTTACTAGGAAAACACAATTTAGAAACATTTTTTTAAAGACATTATATTCCCCACGACCTCTCACCCTCCAGGATCTTAGTGATGCATAATGAAAAGTTTCACAAAAATAAGAATTTATCGGCCGGCATGGTGGCTTATGCCTGTAATCCTAGCACTCTGGGAGGCGGAGGTGGGTGGATCACCTGAGGTCAGGAGTTCCAGACTAGCCTGGCCAACATGGTGAAACCCCATCTCAACTAAAAAAATGGAAACATTAGCTGTGCGTGGTGGCAGGCGCCTGTAATCCCAGCTGCTGGGTGGCCCAGGCAGGAGAATTGCTTGGACCCGGGAGGCTGAGGTTGCAGTGAGCCAAGATGGCGCCATTGCACTCCAGCCTGGGGAACAAGAGCAAGACTTGGTCTCCAAAAAAAAAAATTATCTATATTGTATCTCTGGTAATAAAAGTATACAGTTTTCTAAAGTCAAAAGGCATTAACCTAAAAAGCACTTAATCTTGAATAATGAACTTTATGAAAGTATGTGGAACTAGTTCCTTAAAGACTTGGTTATTCTTGACCTTCTTTCTACTTGAGACTTGAAAGTCCACAGTTTCTTTCTGCTGGGATAACTAATGTCTTCGGTTGCAAGGCAAACAGAAACTGACAAGTGCTTGTCTGTGCAGTGGCAATCTAATACAGCTACAATAATTTGGAGTGAGTTTGGACCAAATTATGTGCCCCAATATTTTTAGGAACTATAAAAAATTATTACAAGAATTTCTTTAAATCACACAGATCAACAAATTGTTACTTTAAAAGGCTATCTAGTGTAGTACTTCTCACCTTTAATGTATATGAAGTCACCCGGAAAATGTTGTCAAAATGCAGGTTATGATTCAGCAGGTCTGGGTTTGGCTCTGAGACTCTAAATTTCTAACAAACATCCAGGTAAAGCCAGTGCTTCTAGTCCCCAGACCTAATGGGTTTGCTTTATTACCATTAATGTTTCTCAAGTTTGAATCATGTGGGAAACTTTTAAAAATCTTCAATGCCCAGACTACTAGGCCCCAGAAAAATTAAATCAGAATATTTGGGGTGGGATCTAAGCACAAGTAGTTTTTAAACCTCTCCAGGTGATTACAATGTGTAGCCAAGATTGAGAAACAGTGCTTTAAGTCAGTGAGTGACTCTCCAAGTGTGAGCCCCAAACCAGCAGCAGTAGCACCTGGGAATGTGCTGAAAATGCACACTCTAATGTCCATCCCAGATTTACCAAATCAGAAACTCTAGAGGTGAGATCCAGCAATCCTTGTTTTCACAAGGCATGATTTTGATGCATGCTTAAGTTTCAGATCCACTGCTATGATCAAAGATTCTCTGCAACTGCATGTGAGAATCACCTGGGGAGTGTTCAAAAAACACTAATTTCCTCCCCCACAATCAATTAAATTAAAATATCTGAGGGTGAAATCTAACATGTTAATGTTTAAAAGTTCCCCCTGGTTATTCCAATTGTGCAGACAAGGTTGAGAAGGATGTCTACAGACTGAATTTTTATGTATGCAAATCAGTGTTTCCATGGAGCAGCAGTTTCTTCTATGCTAGTTTTTTTTTTTTTAAAAAGTTCTTAATCTGCAAAAATGGAGACCTAGAAAGGTAGAGTACTATCCCAATTGTCATAGATTCAAATTAGTGTATTCAGTATTTTCCGATGAGCCATTTTTCCTTCTTGGTAACATGACAGCAGCTTCTGCTTTCTCCAGCAGGACTTTGATGTGAAATGATTCAATTTTAAGTGGCTATGAGATGTACCCTGGCACCAGCCTGCAGTGATTAAAGATTCCTGTGTCAGATTGGTTAACCATCTTCAGGGATGTTGCTGTAAATCAAGTCTCTGCTGTTAAGGGCTTTAGCACGTTGCTACCCAAAGTGCAATCCACAGATCATCACCTGGGTGCTCATCAGTCTCACCTAGGAGCTGTTTATGAATGCTGACTCTCAGGCCCCACCCCAGACCTACTGAATCAGTGTCTGCACATTAGGATCCCCATGTGATATGTATATACATTTAAAGTTTCAGAAGCACAGCTGTAGTGTATCCCCGTAATATACAAAAAAATATATATAACAGCCACTTAATCCTACCTGTTACATCTCTTGGCTCTTCGTGAATGTTCATCCATTCTGAGAAGCTTGTGGAACTCTTATGGGTAAAGTTCCAATTGTAGAGGAATCTACAAGCATCCTTCCCTTTGTTTCAATCCTTCTAGGTTTAGCACCCTTGTCCAGTAGAACTTTCTACAATGATAGAAATGGTCTTTATCTGAGCTCTTCAATAAGTAGCCACCAGCCACATGTGGCTGTTGAACAAATGAATTGGCTAATATGACTGAGAAACTAAATTTTAATTTTATTTCATTTTAATCGATTTAAATTTAAATTGCCTTGTGTGGTTATTGGCTCCACTATTGAACAGCACGGCTCAAGAGTAATCATCTTTCCTCTTGCTCAACCCTTATTTGAGTTCCCAGGTTACACACCAGCCCCTCCTTCTCAGCTTTTGTATGTATTAATCCCCAGTGAATGCACCAGGAAGAAAAACATCTGCCTTGCCACCTCATTTACATAATAAGTAACATTATGCTTATTATTTTGAATGAGAGGAGTTTAACTTGAATTAAATGCCACCAAAAGTTGTCAAAACCTTTTTCATAGTATTCATAATTGCCTAGCTTTAATTTTACAGCCTTTTCAAACATCAGCAGACATAGAATGCATTTGGAAACTGCTTTAAGAAAATGAGACAAAAGACTGCAAATGGATTCAGAGTACAGGATACATAAAGACATCGCCCCCACCCCAAGCATCTTGTTGGCGTATAATGGAAAGTTGATTACATTGAGTGCATCTATGTTGAAAGTAAATATCAAAACTTGCAGATTACTCTCAAAATGGAAGGTGAAATACAAAATAAAAGAGAGATCATAGAGTTAACAGTACCAG